ATATTTCTTGATGCTTCTATATTGGAGCGGAGTCTTGAGGTGGGTAGAATATAGTTGTGCAATAATTGGCTGTTGATTGCTGGTGTTGACTTCTTGATGTGTAGTGCCTCGCAAACGTCAAGCCGCCTGCTATCGCTGTATCTATCGATGATTTCTGTGTTGTTTACTAGGATTTCTCTGGCGATGGTTTGGTTATGGGAAGAGATTATATGTTCCTTAATAGAGCCATGTTGCTTATGCATCGTTAAACGCCTGGAAAGAGATGTTGTTGTCTTGCCTATATACTGGGTTTTTTGGAGCTTACAGTCCCCAAGTGGGCATTTGAAGGCATAGACGACGTTAGTCTCTTTTAAAGCGTTCTGTTTTGTGTCTGGAGAGTTTCTCATGAGTAGGCTGGCCGTTTTTCTGGTTTTATAGTAAATCGTCAGTTGTATCCTCTGATTTTTGTCTGTAGGGATAACGTTTCTATTAACAATATCTTTCAGGACCCTTTCCTCCGTTTTATGAGCTGTGGAAAAGAAGTTCCTGTAAAATAGTCTAATAGGGGGTATAGGTGTTGTGTTAGTTGTCTCTTCAGAGGTTGCATGGCTTTTCACTTTCCTTCTTATGATGTCTTCGATGAAACCATTGGAGAAGCCGTTATTGACTAGAACCTGCCTTACCCTACAGAGTTCTTCGTCGACTTGCTTCCATTCTGAGCTGTGGCTGAGAGCACGGTCGACGTATGCGTTAACAACACTCCTCTTGTACCTGTCAGGGCAGTCGCTGTTGGCATTTAGGCACATTCCTATGTTTGTTTCCTTAGTGTTTACCAACGTACCTGTGGACGAGACAATCGGAATGATAGCCGACAGAGTGTATCGTGATCCAGCCTGTACTCCTCTTGACATGCCAGAAAGTATTCTGAGGAAACTACTCCAAGCTTGTACTAAAGAGGCACCCTTCTTGAGCCCGGATGGGCACATGTATAAGCAAGTAGATGGGGTCGCCATGGGTTCTCCCCTAGGTGTCCGGTTTGCAAACTTCTACATGGGTACCATCGAGCAAAAAGTCTTAGTCGACATGAACTTGAAACCGGCCATATACTGCAGGTATGTTGACGACATTTTTACACAGGTACCTGATGTCAGACATCTGCAGGAGCTGAAGGAGGCATTTGAGCAGAGTTCCGTGCTGCGTTTCACTTACGAGACGGAAAAGGATGGGAAGCTGCCTTTTCTAGATGTAACAGTCATGGAAAAGAGCGGAGGTTTCCACACTGCAGTCTACACTAAGGAAACAAACATAGGAATGTGCCTAAATGCCAACAGCGACTGCCCTGACAGGTACAAGAGGAGTGTTGTTAACGCATACGTCGACCGTGCTCTCAGCCACAGCTCAGAATGGAAGCAAGTCGACGAAGAACTCTGTAGGGTAAGGCAGGTTCTAGTCAATAACGGCTTCTCCAATGGTTTCATCGAAGACATCATAAGAAGGAAAGTGAAAAGCCATGCAACCTCTGAAGAGACAACTAACACAACACCTATACCCCCTATTAGACTATTTTACAGGAACTTCTTTTCCACAGCTCATAAAACGGAGGAAAGGGTCCTGAAAGATATTGTTAATAGAAACGTTATCCCTACAGACAAAAATCAGAGGATACAACTGACGATTTACTATAAAACCAGAAAAACGGCCAGCCTACTCATGAGAAACTCTCCAGACACAAAACAGAACGCTTTAAAAGAGACTAACGTCGTCTATGCCTTCAAATGCCCACTTGGGGACTGTAAGCTCCAAAAAACCCAGTATATAGGCAAGACAACAACATCTCTTTCCAGGCGTTTAACGATGCATAAGCAACAGGGCTCTATTAAGGAACATATAATCTCTTCCCATAACCAAACCATCGCCAGAGAAATCCTAGTAAACAACACAGAAATCATCGATAGATACAGCGATAGCAGGCGGCTTGACGTTTGCGAGGCACTACACATCAAGAAGTCAACACCAGCAATCAACAGCCAATTATTGCACAACTATATTCTACCCACCTCAAGACTCCGCTCCAATATAGAAGCATCAAGAAATATGGACCAATAGGCTTTCTACAAACACTTCTATTCAATACCCATTGTTTCTGTTCTGTCTTGTGTTGATACTTTTAATACCCTATTAATATCCCCTCATGTTCTGTCTTGTGTTAATGCCACGTCACTATATGCCACATCATCCCTCCCACCTCACTCAAATGTAGATATAATAGCAGAGATACGTAAGTTCTAATCAGTTGTGTATTTGTGAAGTCTTTGAAAATGTAATAAGTTTTACGAAACGCGCCTGTGTCGCGTCAGACTAGAAATAAAAATGAATTTTGGAGAAGTGATTTTTGATTTACCTCCAACAGTGAAGCGTAATGTACGAAAGATTGAGAAAATTCGTGTTAGAATTATTAATCTTACTTTTTCGGTCATATTTAATAATATATATATATATATATATATGTTGTATCTAGTAGCCAGAACGTCGTACTCGTCCTACTTTGCAAGGCCCGATTTGCCTAATAAGCCAAGATTTCCTAAATTTATATATTTTTCAATAATTTTTTCCTATGAAATAATAAAGCTATCCATTTCATTATGTACGAGTTAATTTTTTTTAAATTTGAGTTAAAACTAACGTAGATATATGACCGAACCAAACCCATGCTACCTAACCTAACCTATCTTAACCTAACCTAACCTAACCTAACCTATCTTAACCTAACCTAACCTAACCTAACCTAACCTATCTTAACCTAACCTAAACTAGCACAACTAAGTCAATAATTTATGTTCCTAATATAATATAATAATAATAATGCAAATAAACTAATTGGAAGCAATTTATTGAAAATAAAGAAAATCACAATATATATATATATATATATATATATATATATATATATATATATATATATATATATATATATATATATATATATATATATATATATATATATATATATATATATATATATATATATATATATATATATATATATATATATATATATATATATATATATATATATATATATATATATATATATATATATATATATATATATATATATATATATATATATATATATATATATATATATATATATATATATATATATATATATATATATATATATATATATATATATATATATATATATATATATATATATATATATATATATATATATATATATATATATATATATATATATATATATAATGTCGTACCTAGTAGCCAGAACTCACTTCTCAGCCTACTATGCAAGGTCCGATTTGCCTAATAAGCCAAGTTTTTATGAATTAATTGTTTTTCGACTACCTAACCTACCTAACCTAACCTAACTTTTTCGGCTACCTAACCTAACCTAACCTATAGAGATAGGTTAGGTTAGGTTAGGTAGGGTTGGTTAGGTTCTGTCATATATCTACGTTAATTTTAACTCCAATAAAACAAAATTGACCTCATACATAATGAAATGGGTAGCTTTATCATTTCATAAGAAAAAAAATAGAGAAAATACATTAATTCAGGAAAACTTGGCTTATTAGGCAAATCGGGCCTTGCATAGTAGGCTGAGAAGTACGTTCTGGCTACTAGGTACGACATATATATATATATATATATAAATAAATAAAAATGTTCGTTTGTTCAAAATCGCTAATCTCCGAAAGTTCATCACTGATTGCTTTGAAATTTTCACACAATGTTCCATTCACATTCAGTCAGGTTTTTGTATACATGCTATATAGATGTCACATCTGTGACGGTAAAAAACATGCTATTTCTGAAAAACCATGTTTTTCAGGTGTTTTTCATGTGAGGGAAATCTTCGAAATCCCTTTACTGATTGCATTGAAATTCTGACACAATGTTGCATTCGGATAGGCGCATCTTTTTATATACCTACTATATAGATGCCATCCCTGTGACAGGTAAAAACATGCGTTTTTGAAAAACAGCGCCATCTGTTGCACATAATAGCAATATTCACGCTATAATAAATGTCACGAATTCCATTTCAATGTTTCCGATTGCATTGATAAATTTTATTTTCATAGATTTTGATTTATTTTATTTTTTAACGAATTATTTTGCGTTACATTGTGTTGGAACTGAGCTGTGTTGTTTACCATACCGTTCATTTTGTAAGTATAAGTATAGATGCCACACCTGTGACAGGTAAAACTATGCTTTTCTTGACAAACAGCGCCATCTATTGCATGTAAAAGCAACACACGTGCTATACTTAATGTTACAATTCCATTTCAATGTTTCTGATTGCTTGATAAATTCAATTTTCATAGATTTTTATTTATTTTTATTTTGATTTAATTATTTTGTGTGAATTGCGTTGGAATTGAGCTGTGTTCTTTACCATACCGTTCATTTTGTGAGTATAGTTCATTGTTTTATTTTTTCATATTTTCATTTAATTTTTTAACTGTTTTTCTTATATTCCAGTGATGGGGAACATCAGATCACTTGATGTTCCCAATTTTCTGATGGGAACTTCAGACCATTTGGGAAGGCATCGGACAAGGGGACGGAAGTGAGAGATGGTGGGGAGGGCGAGGGGACAAGGGAGGGGGTAATGGTGGGGTAGGATGAGGGGATGGGGGAATGGAGATTGGTGGGGTGGACAAAGGGACAGGGGAGTGGGGCATGATGAGAAGGAAGAGGGGATGGTAGAGTGGGGAATGGTGGGGAGGACGAGGGGACGGTGGAGTGGAGAATGGTTGGGAGGCTGAGGAGACGGGTGAGGAGAGAATGGTGGGGAGGACGAGGGGATGGTGGAGTGGAGAATGGTTGGGAGGCTGAGGAGACGGGTGAGCAGAGAATGGTGGGGAGGACTGGGGGACAGGGAAGGTTGCTGTGGCTCAGCAACGCACATGCGTTGCTGAGCCACAGCAACGCGTGGCCAGGTACTGCTAGTAAATAAATAAATAAATAAAGCCAAGACACCAGCATACCTTGTGCCAGGATATGGGCAGGATCTCAACGCGCCCAACAACACCCATGTCCACCGACTGCTTGAAGTGTGAAGACAGTAGCTTCTGACCCAGTCTCCGGAAATCATCAACTGAAGAAAACGTTAAATAATATTCCATGACTGCGGCAACTTTTTATACCAATACTCTGCCACACAACTAGACACACCTCTACCCATCTTCCTCACAACAAGTGTTACATTTGTATCACTGACTTTCTTTCTGTAACTCGTTCTTCAACCACTCGAAACTTAACATACTTCACCACCGCTGATCAACACTGCATTCAACGACATACGCCATCATCTATAACATTCTCTACAAATGAACAAATTTAGATTAATAATTATATTTGGTTTTCTTACATGGCCATTTTTACGAGACAAGAGGTATTGCAGAACATTGAAATGGAACCATGATGCAGGAATGAAGTGCAAAAACTGCACAAGAAAACCATAAATTCTCACAAGTCAAGCCTGGTCTCAGGCCGAGCTTGGGGAGTAGAACAACTCCCAGAACCTCATCAAGCAGGTATCAGGAAGGTATCAAATCAATGATTTAAGAGTGACTAATTTGAGGTTATTGGGTAAGCTGCCTGAATGGTCAGTCTTTACTTGTAGCCAACAGGCGAGCACACATTGTCAACTAGCATACGCTGCATCATAAACCTTTCCAATGACTAGCTTGTAATCTCTAATTTACCACATACAAAGCAAGGCGTCTGCTAAATATTTTGATCCGTATTGTACTGTATTCTTACCACACTCCTCCACAGGTCTGAAGCGAAGATCACACACAGAGCCTATTCCATGTATTAAGAACACTAGATGATCCACGTTTTCCGCCTCACCATCGTCAATTTCAAAATCCTCAGTGCCACGTTTTACAGTTAAAGGTGCTTGGGAGGCCTAGAAGAAAAAAAACAGTGTTGAATGTAATGAAATGCCATTTTCTGGGTAAGCCTCTACGGCTTCCTGGAGCTATCGGGCTAATGTGTGATATATTAGACCTGGGCATTAGTCCAAGAAGTTCGACCTACTGTGGACCATGAGCCAGAATCTGGCCCTCCTTAGAGAGGGTGCAGGGAGCAATGGCCTTGGAAAACCCGCTTTTGGTTGGAGGTTTTCCTTATCTGCCATTGACCGGGATTAGGCACCCAGAAAGGTAGGCATAAAAATTCCACATGATAAGAAAAGTACAACTAAAACCCAAAAAGAGAGGCAGAACTCCCTCCAATCCCAAGGAAACAAGCAAATGTCACACTCCACTGCTGCGCTGCACGTCCATGCAGCCCTCCCCTCACTGAGAGGGGGAGGGGGGAGGTCCAGGGCTTCCCCCCTCCCCCAAAATCCCCGCACCCGAATATCAGCCAAAGACATGATGAAAAATATTGCAGCCAATTTCCTAACGTCATGGGCACAAGGATAGACCGCAGGCTGGCTAGACTTAATAACCCTGCGGACGACCTGGGAGACCCGAGCCCTGGAACTGGGATCGAGGAAAACCGAGCATCAATGACCCAAGGACCCCTCTGGAAAGCAGGCGCCTTGTTCTTCGCCAGAAAAGAAGAAGGCTGCAATCGAATAAACCTACCACCAGGAACGAAAGAGCAGAAACCCCTGAGCCGGAGAGCATGAAGCTCCCCGACCTGACCCCCAGAGGCCAATGCCAACAGAAACAGAGCCTTGGAAAAACAATCTTGAACCAATGGGCCACTACAAACTGAGGAGAGGAAAGATAGGAGAGCACCCTGTCCAAGGACCAGGACGGCTTGGGCGGCGCATGAGCGGGCCGGAGGTGAAACAAAGCACAAGTAAGCTTACAGAACGGGGCAGAAGAGACATCCACTCCCAAACGCAAGGTGGAGCATCTACGCCAGCGCCACACGATAGGAGGCAACAGTATTAGGTATCAAATGATGCTCCTGAAAAAGGCAAGACAAAGGACAAGAAAACCCAATCAGAAATAGACAATCTATGGAGTGAAAAAAAGGGCAGAAAGAACGCCAGGAAGAAGCATACTGTCACCGAGATGAAGCTCTCAGGTGGGACAGACACCATCAGCGAAGCCACAAGATTACCATACAAATGGTGATAAACCCCGCGTCAAAAAAACCAGATGCGAAGAGCGGAGGAAGAGAAGACTGAACAAGCCGTGTACTGGACTGGTCCGATCTGCTAGAAGAGGCAGAGACGTGGAAAACGTCGTGGGTTCACACACCGAGCAAGCAGTGCCAGGAACCAAGGCTGGGCTGGCCACCAAGGGGCCACGAGAACTCCTCTCCCTTGGTAGGACTCCAACCGATTCAGAACCCGAGGTAACAGCTGGACTGGGGGAAAGAGGTACAGGTAACCCCCACCTCGACCAGCCCTGCTGAAAAGCATTCAGCCACGACAGTCGGGGAAGGGCGCCACATAGATTGGGAGATGCCGAGACCACACCGACGCAAAGAGGTCCATGTCTGGCAGAGCAATGGAAGGAATCTGTGTCGACCATCCAGTCTGTGGACAGGGGAATGAACCGAGACAGGTCGTCCGTAAGGATGTTGGACACTCCCTGGATATGGAGTGAGAACCCCAAGAAGCCAGCAGACAATCCACTCGTAGCAACCAGCCCCAAAGAGGCTAGGACCAAAGGGAATCCCTGCGGTTCAGGCAATGAACCACCAGAGAACAGTCCAAATAGAACCGGATGGTCAAACCCAGAGTGACCTGAACCCTCCGAAGCGACAGCCAAACCGTTGCAAACTCCCACACTGTGTGGTGAGCCCGATGGAAGGACGGACCCCCATCGCCCTTTGCCAGCCTGGTGAGCACTGGTCACAAGCCCCAGCCGAGCGACAATGTGTCTGTGAACACATCAAATGAGGGCTCGGGTAGGCGCCAAGGCACTGAACCCAGAAAACTCAGAGGAAGACCGCGACACAGCAACCGACGAAAGGCCCCCTGAAGTACGAACCCAGCGATCGCGATTAAGGCAAAAGGTGCGTCCCCGAAGGAACCAGAACAGATGCCGAAGCCAAACCCAACGCAGCAGGTAGACCAGCACAGTGAAATTCAAATTCTTGCAAACTGCTCGAGCAACTGCCGAGTGACCTGGGACCCTCCCCCCCCCCCCCAGAAACAACCGAAGGTGGAAACGCAGCCTCAGCAACACCTCTGGAGAGACGTGAAAGCGGTCTGAGAGTTCCAAACAAGACTCGGCCAGGTCTGAATTTGAGACAGAACCAGATGAGACTTCCTCCAGTTCACCAGGAACCCGAACCCAGCAAGCTGGAAAAGAACCACACCCCCTTGACGAGCAGCAAGCACCAGCCAGGCGTCGAGGTAGGATAGGACCGAAACCCCGAGCAGAAGCAGACTGGTCACCAAGACCTGGATAAGACGTGTGAATAGGCGAAGTGCCAGATTCAAGCCAATAGGAATGTAACGAAAGCAGTAAGCCTGACACCTCACCACGAAACCTAACTAGTCCTTGAACCCCAGATGAATAGGAATGTGCCAATACACATCCTTGAGGTCCAGGCACACCTCTTGGAGCCGGATGCCTGGATGAAGCCGGACCTGAGAGACCACACACATCTGAAAGAAGGGGCAAGGCATCCAGGCATTCAGACGGGACAAGTCCAGAATGAACCTCGGATCCGCAGTCCTGTTTCGGCACTGAAAACAGGTGGGAAACCCACCTGAGGGACGGGGTCATTTCGACCACGACCAAGCGCACCTGCTCTGAGATGACCTGACAAAGCGCAGGGAAAGAAGCCTGCCCCGAACCCCCCCCCCCCCCCGAAAGAAGATGAGCCGCCCAATGCCACCACAGGAGGGATGACACGACTGAAAATGCCCATGAATTGTAGGACCAAGCGCGAGCAAACAGAGTGAGCCTCCCACACCCATTGCCCTGTCAATGAGGCGAACTGCAAAAGGGCTGACGCCCCCACGAGAAGCCGGCAGACGAACAGTGATGATCGCACTGACCAGACAACGCCAGTTCCGAACGCAACCTCGGCTCAGAAGCTGGCACCAATGGCCCACCTCGACCAGTGGAACCCTCAGCCCTGGCACGACCCTTCTGAGAAGGCCAAGAACGGCTGCCCCGGAGAATCAACAAGTCAGACATAGGACGACAACTAGAAGCAGCCGCCTGCAGAAACTGCATAATAGATTCCGCAAACAGCAACAGACAAAACGGGAGCCAGGGCCCAAGCAGATTCCAAAAAAAAAAACAAGCACAATCTGACAGCATGCGAGGTGAAAAGCATAGAACATAGAGAGCGCCTCTTTTAGAATATGTGCAAACAGCTTCAACAGAGAAGCTGATGTCTGAGCTGCTGCCGATGACAGCACACCAGACGAAGGCCTGGCACTCAACGCCTCTACATCCTCCTCAAGCCAGGCTGAAGACAGCTCGAGAGGGGAAAAGAAGCGCAAGACCGAAGCCAAAAGCCCACGGGCGCGCAAATCCTCAGCAACCAAGGACGCCGAAAGGGTAGGAACTCGAATGTGCAACTACACAAGGCTAACATCCCAAGAAAGCACAGGGGCGAACAAGTACGCATTAAGGCGCTCAAACTCACCCCCTTCCCCCCAGATAAACCTGCAGAACAGTAGAAGTTTCTCGCCACTCAAACTTGGAGGTCCGACAGAACCCATGCCATGCCCCCAACGAAAAGAATGGGCAGTCTGCCAGCCAGGGAAAACTCCAGAACCTCCAAATGCACCCAATATGGGGAAGAAGAACCGAACTCATAAGGACGGATCCATCATGGAGGCGGAATCTGGGTCTCGCAGGAGGTACGCAGCAAGAGCCTCCTGAACCTCCTGAGGGGAGATACGAGACACAGAAAACCTCCGGAGCCGGGGCTGAGGAACCCAAGGGAGCCCGGAACAGAACCCGGGGAGGAGCCGACCCCAAATCATACTCATACAGGGAAAGATGTTAAGAAAATCCCTCCACTTCCAAAAAAAAGCCCCCATGAAGAGGGGGACCAACACCCAAGTGGGGTCAAAGGGAGCCCGACGACCCCAGGTCGACTCCTCTCCAGCCCCGGGATCCCCTAAGTTAGGAACTGGGGCAGAGCACTCCTCCAAACCCTCTACCCCTGAAGAGTCTGGGGAAATGGCTGAAACCCCAGCGATATGCACAAGTACAGGGGCTTAGAGGAGGGGGGAGGAGGGGTCACCAAAATATTATAAGTGGAACTATAGCCACACAAGGCAGACCTCCCAACTGACAAGGAAAAAAAAAAAAAGAGAAAAGCAACATAAAAGTACAACGTCCCCATACCACTCCACAACCAAGGCCAAGCAGGGGCCACGAAATCCCAGTTGGCCCCAAGGGCGGGGGTAAATGCCGACAGCAAAAACTCTTACGGAAATGGTTCTCGAACGCACCAGGGAAGAGAACCCTAACACACAAGGGCAGTACTCGCAGGACGCCTATGCAAGGATGCCTCTAAGTACATGCAGCCCCGACACTTACGAGGACACCTAGCCGCCACCACACACACCACCACCACCACCACAGAAGTCAACACGAAGACAAAACACCGCTTTGGAATTCGAGGCCAGAAAAGACGTCAGCCCCAGACCACACTAGTAAATGAACTGGAGTGCTAGGTAGCCGGTCTGGGGCTCCCCCCCATCCCCCTCGAGGGGAGGGAAGGGGCTGCATGGACAAGCAACTCTGTGATGAGTGTTACGTTTGCTAGTTTCTTTGGGATTGGTGGGAGTTCTGCCTCTCTTTTCAGTTTTTCTTTGTCATTTTCTTACCATGTAGGGTTTGTTTTGTTATGCCTACCTTTCTGGGTGCCTAACCTCAGTCAATGGCAGATAAGGAAAAACCCCAACCACAAGGGAGTTTTCCAGGGCCATTGCTCTCTCCACCTCTCTGAGGGGGGCCAGGATCTGGCTCGTGGTTCCTGGTAGGCTGAACTCTATAGACTAATACCGCAGTCTACTGTAAACCATACTAGCCCGATAGCTCCAGGGAGCCGTAGGGGCTCCCCACAGAAAATAACATCAGAAATCCTGTAAACATGTCCACTCAGGCATTAAGATTTAAACAAAATCATTCAATTTCTATTCTGGTGTAAACATGAGTTATGGAAAGTTGATTAATCTCATTTATTTCTGGACACCTTCAAGTCTGCAACTGATAACTTACATGGACCGAGACGCCGGTGGGAAACTCTCCCTCCTCACCCGCACCGATGTAATGGATCATGGCGCGGGGAGAGTGGATCATGATCCTGTCGCCACCCTTCAGATCAATTTGCCGATGCCACTGACCCGACGTGACTGCATCCTGGTACTCTCTCTGGAAGATAACAACAGTAGATATTCAATCTATTACATACACACACATTACATTAATTACAAAGAAATTAACAAGCAACAGACCATTAAAATACAAACTAGGTTGTTTAGTATAGGGAAAGCTTATTAAGGTACAACCTAATTTTCAGATTTGTTGTTAGATGTTATTTTAGCGATCTTCAAGTGTATGCACGCAAACTAATACTCACTTTGTACGCTATTCCTCATTTACCAGTACAGCATTAAAGAAATTATTCAGTTTTGTGAGAATTGAATCACTTGGCCACAACTTTGATCCCATTGTTGTCAATTATAGTTGTCTTGTATTTCATTTTTTTGGCATCGGGATTTTCCATGAGGTTTGGTAATCATGCATACAGTGGCACCACACTCAAACATACAGTGGCACCACACTCAAACATACAGTGGCACCACACTCAAACATACAGTGGCACCACACTCAAACATACAGTGGCACCACACTCAAACATACAGTGGCACCACACTCAAACATACAGTGGCACCACACTCAAACATACAGTGGCACCACACTCAAACATACAGTGGCACCACACTCAAACATACAGTGGCACCACACTCAAACATTCTAACTAGGACCCCCAGTCCATTTTACCAAGTAGTGTACAATATTCAGATTCCCCGAGTTCCTCACTAACCCGACACCTTTACTTCCCCGCCGCCAAGCACAACACGTTAAAGATTCCCCGAGTTCCTCACTAACCCGACACCTTTACTTCCCCGCCGCCAAGCACAACACGTTAAAGATTCCCCGAGTTCCTCACTAACCCGACACCTTTACTTCCCCGCCGCCAAGCACAACACATTAAAGATTCCCCGAGTTCCTCACTAACCCGACACCTTTACTTCCCCGCCGCCAAGCACAACACGTTACAAGTAAACTTCCTGAAGGTAATGTACCCTTTGCTGCACAATGCAAAACAATTAATATAGCCGCCTCTCAAGGTTTCCATTACACATTCTCCACTTAAGGTAATGCTTGAACTAGCACACCAGGTCGTCATTAACTCTTTCACGGCAATCGGTGGGAACACTTGCACACGGAAAATATTAACTCGCCGCAATAGTAGGGTTTTTACCAGAGTATCAAAACAAGAACAGAACATCTTGTGACACTTGTCCCTGTACCAAGCCTTCAGAACGGAAATTTGCACCTGGAAAGTCTCGAGTCACGTAAGTCGAGCTAGAGGAAAATGCCAACCGATGTGATACATGTAAATACGCTAAACATACTCGGTAATTAGTTTCATTAAAGTAAATAAATTGCTATTGTTATTATGGGGTTGTATTTATAATGTTGTTCTATGAATTAATTGTATCGGGTTACTTGGACCACATCAGAAAATGAAGACTTAAACTTTTGATTTTGGGAAAGTTTTAATAGCTACACAGGTTGATAAAGAGTGTCTAAGGTTGGAGATCAGGGGCCACATTCAAAAAAGCAGTTATGCAAGTACTTAGGAACCTGTACACCTATTTTCAATCTTTGGTGGCTTGTTTGTTTACAATTAATAAACAGTTAATAAGCTCCGAAACACCAGGAGGCTGTTTATAATAATTACAACAGTTGATTGGGAAGTTTTCATGTTTGTAAACTGTTTAATAAATGTAACCAAAGCCATCATATATTGAGGAAAGATGCACACATTCTTAAGTACTTGCATAACTGCTTCATGAATCTGGCCCCCTGATGCTTAGAGCTAGCCTTGCCCAACATTTACACATGACCCATGTGATTAAGGTAGTGTCACAGGCTAGGCAGGGTTCGCTACAGAGTGTGTAGCACTTCAGGAAAATTTGCTTCTAATACACCCTCCCCCCCCCATGAAATTTTTATGAAGTCAAATCTGAAATAGTATTGCTCATAGACGTCTTATCCCTTTCAGTGGATCTTTATGTAATTTTTGAGAGGGAGAGGAGACAAGGCACATTTTCAAATTTGCAATTTGACATTTTATTATTAATATAAAACCTAATTAAAAATAAAATTCTTGTCTCTAAATTTACAGTTTAGTGCCTAGGCTCGGCCCTAACCCTCGGCCTCCCTCCCTCTCTAGGGGGGGGGGAGGGATGAGATTGAGTCTAAAGGAATATATGTACAATATACATGTATATAAGTAATTTTTCTAAGAGATATTATGGGCTACACATGCCCGTGCCACCTCCTGGGTGGCGTAATCTTAATCAATCAATCAATAAAAGATAGAAAAAAGGTTGCAAAAAAAAAAAAAAAAAAAAAAATGTATTTTAGTCCCATTGAGACCTCTGAGAAATGTACAGCACCAATACCAAACATTCAGAGCAAAGGTGTACATTCCTCTCCTCTCAAGGTAATGTTTCAACCAGTGAATGCAATTACCAACAAGGTGCCGCTCTATGTTAAAGTATTCTCTGCTCAAGGTAATGTTCCTACACCAAAAGGAGTCCCAAATATTTTAAGTAATTGTTACGGACCCGAGCCCAGCGTCGTAGCACGGAGCAGTGACATCCACGCCATCTGTGAGTCAGCTCCCGAAACCCCCTCCAAATGGACGACGCCATCTAGTGAGGACGAGATATACCGGCCACAGGGGCTGGTTTCCCGTCCTAATCAGCTCGTAACATAGCCGCTGCTGACCTCTGGTGAGGTGACGCTTAGACAGCAACGCCATCTATGGAGTGGATAGGTGGACCCTATCAATGGCCCTAGGGTGTCCCTAGTACTGATGACGTGTCTGATTACAGAGTCGACCTGGGACTGCTGGATTGGACGATGGGCAGTCTACCCAAGGCAGCCATAGTATCTCCACGTGTTTGCTGCAGAAGCTGTGAGTCACCCCCCGGATGAACACTGTTGTGTTAGCCTGCCTGTGAGGTGGCAGAACCAGGAATTGTCGTACCCGGGGCTGACTGGTGGAGAAGACTAGCCACTGGGGTGTTGTGGTGAGGAGTGATCAGCGGAATCACACGAGGCTCCTGCCTAGGGCTCGCAACCCTAGTATCGGTCGTGGAGTGGCCTACGCAGCAGAGCTGATTGGAACCTGCCAGCTACAGGATGGATCTGTGGTTGAAGGCCTCCACGACGGTGCACCCAGTGGGACTGTGATTTGGCTGGCCTGTGGCCAGGGTAGACTCGCCTAGGGAATCGAAGGATTCATCGTGAGGCCACAAGAAGAGAACCAGGGCTACTCGTCTTGAGCACCGTGAAACGTCCTGAGTCTTCGGAGGAAGACAAGTGATTGTATATAAGTGTATTTATACCCCCCCGTGTGACAATATATTTATTTATTGGTGGTGGTGAATATATATTTAATTTAGTGAATTTGTATCCCTTCCCTTTAATTTACTTGCATTACGGAACACACCCCTTGAAAGCCACTACTAACTTGGGGCCGGATACCCAAACTCTAATAACATCAGAGAAGAACCCCAGTTGCGACCCAATAGGGCCGTAACAGTAATCTCAAGATGATTATGATCAACTTTAAGGCCATCGAGACTTATGGATAATTGGGACATTTTAGTTTTTAACCAGATTTGTTTTTTCACTTGTATTAAAACATTGAAGCTTTATACCAAAATCATAGAACATGTAATTTTTTTAAAACTATACCGTTTACTATTTTTACGTTCATTTCTAACGCAAGTTACTATTTGGATAAAAAATTATTTATTTATTTATTTATATATAGAAGAGGTCTTACATTCTTGTACAGCCACTAACACGCATAGCATTTCGGGCAGGTCTTTAATCCTAATTTCCTCAGAATACGACCCGTCAAATTGTTTAACAACCAGGTACCCATTCTCTGCTGGGTGAACAGAGGCTACAGTTAAGGCTGGTGCCCGGTCAATCCTCACCGGCCAGGATACGAACCCAGGCCAAAGCACATTTTTAATAAACGCTTCTTAAATAAGATTTTGAAAATGGTTTAGATTATCTAAATGACCTTCACATATTAACTACAGTACAGTAGACACACAAATCACAATAGCGTGATATTTCAAGTGAACAAATCATCGCGGCCCTTGTGGACTTGTGCAGTACAGTCTTTGAGTCCCAAGTGTTGATTTTGGGGGGTTGTTCAGAATACAGTATGGTAGAGTGCAGTAACTTGCCAAACACTACTACATATTGCTTAAACTGGACATTTCTATTTTAGTCTTTAGATATTTCACAGTCAATAATATTACAGTAAATACATTTTTCAGTTTACATTTGATATAAAACAGTTCATATTTGTGCACAATCTACCTCTGCCACAAATTACTCTGTACATACTGCACTTCCAAACAGTTTTTGGTGCTGTAATTAGCATTCCACGGAACAGTGTTTACTTACATGTATTTTCATCTCAATACTGCATATGCAAAATTATTAATAATATTGTAAAGCTTGCAAACATGCATTCATTTTAATCATTTGTACAGCACTACTCAGGGCCACCATTAAAGTTTTACTTTAGTTTTCACACATCCGGACGTGATTAGAAACACATCTGGATCATTGCAAGTCCATCTTCCCAACGGCTATAAGTGAAATAACTAACAATACCATGTCCGTACAATGAAATCATCAGGAATGGGATAATCTGAAAGAAGTACCGAAAGCCATTCAATAGGATGGTATCCGCATCTCTCAACTCTCCGGGCATACGCACCACCGTGTTCCCGAGGAGTTGAGGGGTGTGGGTTCGATCCCATCACTGACTTGACAATATTTTCCCAATACAGGTACCAGGTCTATTTATAACACAACATAACTATTGCACAGAGCAAAACAGATTAGGGCGAAGATTACGATGCTCCATATCCTTACTTCCAGCTGTTCGGCAACTTCTTCGTCGTACGGAAGAGGCTGGGCATCAAGGGGACTTTTTTTGAACCAACTGCAACGACGAATGTGGCTTGGCTCATCCTGCTCCCAGTACACTGCTTTACGAGTACGCTCCTTAACACTCACGTCATACCGGCCGCCTTCTGTGGGCACCAGCTCGGCACTCTCTGTGGTTCATAAGGGTGCTTAAGTTTCTTCAGTTATAAAATACCATCAACACAATACAGTATTTTCTTCTACCCCCCCTTTTCCCTCCCTAATTTATTTGATGCACCCAAAACCAAAAATCTGAAGACTTTCTAAATATTTAACAAATTACTTAAGATTAATTTAGCATGCACACAAAATTTTCAATACACGTAAACTGTACTGTGCTGTACAATGCATCCTCCAAAATCCTAACCTCCATATAACGAATCCATACAAACAGCTATTTAATTGTGCAATTATGCCAAAAACCTCGATACAATACTGTACTCCTCATAGTGCTGGTGCCACTAACCCACGATGCCGGTGTCGCTAACCCCACGGTGCCGGTGCTGCTAACCTCACGATGCCGGTGCCACTAACCCCACGGTGCCGGTGCCGCTAACACAACTGTGCCGGTGCAACTAACCTTACAGTGCCAATGCTACTAACATCACGGTACCGGTGCTGCTAACATTATCGGCCCAGTGCCATTAACCTCACGGTGTTAGTGCCACTAACCTCACAGTGCCAATGCTGCTAACATCACGGTGCTGGTGCCGCTAACCTCATGGTGCCCATACCACTAACTTTACAGGGCTGGAGTCGCTAACCTTATAGTGCTGGTGCCCCTGACTTTATGGTGCCAGTTCCACTAAACTTACAGTTAGTCTCACCAACTAAGATACCCTCAATAACCTTGGATAAACTTCTGATATTCTTACGTCACTAACCTTGCAGATATGCTTCTTCCAGGTTAAACGAATCAGAGAAGCTAAACGGCCTCCAAACTTGTTTCCGACCCACTGCGTAGAACCAGTGATGTATCACCGGGTGGTAAACACTTCCCGACATCGCTGGGTTGCCAGCCTGCAAGGACCACAACAATTATATGCATAAATATCTTTAATACCATGCTACTCCCAAGGTTTGAGTAATGGTGAAACCTCAGATCAGTAAAGCATTTTAAAGTTGTATAGCAATGCAACACTGCTGCCAAACAAAAAACAAAATAGTCAATACCATAATTACATAGAAGTGTCTCAATATGAGGGGAACAAAATACTCGAGAAGCTAAGGTAGAATAGAGTGGTTGGTCCAGATGGAGTTTCACCATGGGTTCCGAAAGACTGAGCATCTCTGCTCAGCACCCAACTTCAATTGATTTTTAAGTTATCTTTGTGTATAGAAGTCTTACCTCATGGTGCTTATATGGAGAAAGGCAAACCTAGTTCCAATCTACAAAATTCATAGCAGAGACATGTTTAACAGTGATAAATTCCAGGTAGTTAGGTACGGTAAAAATGAAGACTTTAACCAAAATACAGGGTACAACACAATCAAACCTGCCCATAGTAGGAAAGCAGCATGTAAAGGATCTGGGAATAATGATGTCTGATGACTTAACGTTTAGAGAGCATAACTGAGCAAATAGTGTCACCTAGAAAAATGATAGGATGGATTATGAGAACCTTCACATCCAGGGATCTGATTGCAATGTTCATACCACTATATTCAAATCACTGGTGCTGTTCCGTCATGAGTACTGCTCGATACTCACTTTCCCTTTCAGAGCAGGAGAGCTTGCTGAAATAGAGGGACTACAGAGAACACATACAACACGAATAGATACAATAGAGTGGAAAGCATCCTTCAGTCACGGGATACTATAGAGTTGCGCTTGAGTTGCCGAGGCAGAAGTGCCCTCTCCAGGGTAGGTAGATATGGAAGAGAAGCTGTTACCCATGCAGCAGGTCCCCCTTCTCAACGATGCTGAAATTGTTCAATGGAAAGACAAACGCCGATACGTTTGGTTCCAGCGTCGTCGCAGGAGATTGAAGTCAATAAAGCATCTAAATTATTGGGATCATCTCTAAGCTCTCAAAATGTATGCTCTAGAAAGGAGCAGATATCAAATAATATCTACATGGAAGGTACTGGAGGGCCATTGGTCCAAATTTACACATCATCATACTGGAGTGAACAATATGGCGGAAGTACAGAAAAAGAGTCAAAGATGGAATATGAAGCGGTTGTATGCGGCCCATATCTTAAGCAGCACATCAACAAACTGGTGCAAAGATATGCAACTAAATGGCTTCAAGAACTGAAAGACAAGAGCTACGAGGAGAGGTTACAGGTATTAAATATGCCAAAACAAAATAGAAGAAAAAACCAGCGTTGAATGCAATGAAACGCCATTTTCTGGGTGAGTCCCGGAGGCTCCCCGGAGCTATCCATGGCTGATATGGATATCCTAACTATTTTGCATCAGTCGATGTGGGTGGAGTTCTAGGCCTACCGGGGACCACGAGCCAGAACCTGGCCCCCTCACAGAGGCACGGGGAGCAATGGCCCATAGAATGCACATGTGATTTGGAGCATTCCATATCTGCCATCGACCGGGACAGGCACCCAGAAAGGTAAGCGCCACAAAACAAACCCCTATTCTGGTTAACAACAAAAATTGACAAACGAGTGGACAGAACTCTCCAAAAGAAAAACGAGCAAACCAGTATGACGTCACACGAGCCGCGCCGCATGTCTGCGCAGCTCCCCCCTCCCCGGGAGGGGGAAGGGGGAGCCCCAGACCCCCGAGCCGGCGATCCACACCCCAGTTCCTCGGCTGATGGGATAATGCACGGTCGTGTGGCTCCAGCTCCGGTTTTGTCTCAGTGGTGTGACTTGTTTTCAGTGCTGCTCTTACGGTGGTCGTGTGAGCTGGGAGTAGTATTGTCAGGTACTCGGGCTGCATGTGCTTAGGGTCACCTTCCCTGAGTGCCCTGTAAGTACCGCCCTTGGGGCTTGGGGTTGCCTTCCACAAGTCACCTTGGGTCTACCTCTGTTGGCTTTTCGTTGCTTGGCGTTTGGCCGCCCTGAGTGTTTGGGGGTTTTCCTCCCTTGTTTACCTTGGGGTAAGTGGTGGTCATTGCACTGGTGGGGCACAGGGTACTGCGTAGCTAGTTTTCACCTATAACAGCAGCCGGCTCTGTTCCCTCTGGGTACGTTGTCCACTTGGGTGGTTTTTCTTTTCTTTTTGTTTTTGCCTGGTGAGGGGGTCTGCCTTGATTTTTCCTCCCCTTATATTAGGGTCGTTTGTGTGGTGGCACCCCCTGCTTCACCTTCACGAGTGGACACATCCTGTGGGTTCAGCTTTTAGCAGATTACTTGGTAGTTTGGGACGCCGGTTAGCAGTGCCCTGCCTGGGATAACCCTTAGCAGACCCAGTCTAGGGGCCCTGGGAAACCCCGTGGGGGCTCTTGGATCCGATGGAGGAGACCCTTGCGTCCCCTCTCGCTGTGTGCGAGTTTGAGGGTTGCTCTGCCCCTTTGTCTCAGGGTGACTCATTGTTTTTGCCTCCGTCATGCTGCCTGTTGGGTCGGTGACACGTTCGACCCCGAGTCCTGCGAGCTGTGTTGCTTGTTTGTGACTCAATTCACCCAGTCTGCTGATGAGTTACTTCGGGTGCAGGCAGCTCGTGCGTTGCATGGTAGGTTTAGGTTATTCCAACGCGCGCGGGTTCTTGCTTCCCCGGACGCCCCGCTTTGTGTATAGGGACCCAGACTTGGGGGTGTTGGTCGCTTCGACCTTGGTTTCGTCCGCGCCCCCTTGTTCTTCCCCTTCGGTGGTTCATTCTGTCCCCCCCCCCCTGCTTCCGGCCCCTAAGCGTCTGAGGGCTTCGGGGTCGGGGTGGGGTTTAGCGGTTTCTGAGCCTCGGGCAGTTTCGAGGGCTGCCCCGTCCAGGGGGCTACGGAGGCATTCGAGTCTGTTCCTCCGGGCGTTGCTCCGGGGTCTGACCAGTGGGCCCCTTCTCTTCCGGAACTTTCGGCTGCCCCGGCTTTTTCTTGTGAGGCCGGGGCTTTGGAGGACGGCTCGGCCCCGGGGCCTGGTGTGGAGGCTCCTGGGGTTGGGGAGGAGCTGACTTGGTGGCTTTGGCCTCCATTGGACCCCGCCTGGATTTTCCAACCTTCTGAGCGGAGCTTACTGTTGCAAGGAGTGGGGTTTTCCTTTTCCCCCCTCTGCGTACGATTTGGACTTGGGTTCTGCTCCTCCCCGGGTTCGGTTCTGTGTCCCTGTGGGTTCTTCGGTTCCATCTTTCCGGAGGTTTTCGGCTTCCCGCATCTCTCTGAGTTGCGGTCGGCCTTGGCGGCTTCCCTCCTGCGTGTCCCATATACGCCTCCATAATGGATCCTTCTTCCTTCAGGTTTGGATCTTCATGTCCTTACTGGGTTCGTTATGAGGTTCCGGGATCGTCCTGGCTTGCAGACTGCCCCTTGTTTTCGCTGGATGCTTGGGACTCGTTCTGTCGGACCCCCACGTTTGAGTGACGTGAGGCGTTGACGGTGGTCCAGGTTTACCTGGGGGGCGATTTTGAGCACCTTAATGAGTGTCGTTTTGCTCCTGCCCTTCTGCGGGACGTTGGTGCAGTGCAGCTCCATGTGCAGGTTCCTTCCCTGTCGGCTGCTCTTGTGGCGGAGGATTTGCGCGCTCGTGACTTTTTGGCTTCGGTCCTGCGTTTCTTTTTCCCTCCTGGAGCTATCTTCGGATTGGCTTGCGGAGGATGTTGAGGCGCTTGGGGCCGTTCCGGGGTCTGACGCCTTGGTCTCAGCTGCTCGGGCGTCGTCTGCCATGTTGAAGCTTTTTGCGCCTATCCTGTGGGAGGCGTTGCTGCGGTTTTTCGCTGAGTGCTTCGCGTGCCGTCAGGCGGTCCTGGCTTCCTGTTTGGAATCCGCTTGGGCCCTGGTTCTTAGGTTGTCTTCTCCCTTTTGTCCTCTGTTTTTTGAGGCTTCTGCGGTAGAACGCTATATTCAGGCGGCTTCTTCCTCTTGCCGCCCTATGTCTGAGTTGTTGGTTCTCCGGGGGAACCGGGGGTTCCTTCCCGGCGGGGTCGTACCAGGGTGCGTGGTTCCATTCGTCGGGGTGGGCCACAGGTGTCGGGTTCGGTGCCGGTGCCGCCTGCGGTCCCACCTGCCGGAACAACCATGGACATCTTCAAGAGGAAACTAGATTTATTCCTCCAAGGAGTGCCGGACCAACCGGGCTGTGGTGGGTATGTGGGCCTGCGGGCCGCTCCAAGCAACAGCCTAGTAGACCAAACTCTCACAAGTCAAGCCTGGCCTCGGGCCGGACTTGGGGAGTAGAAGAACTCCCAGAACCCCATCAACCAGGTACCTGTGCTTGGTCAGCGCAGTGTTCACTCTGCGCGCAGGTCGGGTTCTCGTAAGGGGCAGCGGCCCTTTCGCGGTTCGCCCCATTGACGGGGCGATGGGGAGGAGGCTGTCTCTGTTCGCTCACGCCTGGTCTCACGATTTGTGGGCTTTTCGGGTTGTTTCTCGCGGCCTGAGGTGGCGTTGGGTGGCTCCGCCTCCTGCTGGGGGTTCGGGGCTGACGGGGCAGGCGTCCTCTCCTGCGCTCCGTCAGGTCATCTTGGAGTGGGTGCGCTTGGGCGTGGTCGAAACAACTCCGTCCCTCAAGTGGGTTTCCCGCCTGTTTCCCGTTCCGAAACGGGACTGTGCGGACCTGCGGTTCATTCTGGACTTGTCCCGTCTGAACCCTTGGGTTTCTTGCCCCTCGTTTCGGATGACCACTCTGTCCCAGGTCCGGCTTCTGTTGGAGCCGGGCGCTTGGATGTTGTCCCTGGACCGCAAGGATGCGTATTGGCACGTCCCTATTCATGTGGGGTTCTGGGACTGGCTCGGTTTTGTTGTGGGGCGTCAGTGCTACCGCTTTCGTTGTCTCCCCTTCGGGTTGAACCTGGCACCTCGCGTGTTCACACGCCTTACCCGGGTTGTGGTGGCCCGTCTGCGTCTCTTAGGTGTTCGGGTGTTGGCTTACCTCGACGACTGACTGGTTTGGGCTCCCAGTCGGTC